ATATATATATATATATACACACACACACATATATATTTGACGGGTATTATACTAATACTTATTCAAACTGAGAAACAGACTCTAGGACTTGGTCATATGACCGTTGCAAAAACCCAACACGTGCACCAGCTTCAAAATCCTCCCCTAAACTGAACTTGAGCAAATTCAGTTTACTTCCTTTACACCCAATAAGTCGTATCCATTTTAGCTTCGGTATTCGAGGTCATTTGCAAATAAATGGTTTAATCACACCTTGAATTGTGGTTAGGGAGGAGGATGGTGTGAGTCGACAAAAAGTTGTCTTTTACGCGTGAACATGAGCAACGGAGTGGGTTCGTCGACGCGTATGACGAAGTTCAATTTCACGGGAGTTTTTAGTAGCAAGAAAGAGTTCAATCCAGGTATATTTACCTACATGAAAGTCAAACTGTATCGTTAAGAGTTTCACATTGACTAGACTTGGTCTATTTCTCCTCCATTCTCTGCTTAAGAGCTCTTTTGAAGAGTGATCTGACATGAGATTCAACATATTCTCACATAGTATCAAAACCAAGGTCTACCATTATAGGGAATTGACATTGAGAGAATCTGTATCCGTCTAACCTTTGTCAGAGGGGACATGTTGGAGTACCACATCAGCTATATTAGGACCATTTCTCCTCCATATATACCGGAATCTTCTCTCTCCTCCAGATACTCTTTTGAAAAGTAATCTAATGGAGTTTCATATATTCTCTCGTATACGTCTTTGGTGCAAATGAGGTTTGTTCTTTTTTCTAGGCTTCTATAACTGGAATAGAGTCATAATGAGGTACTGTGACGGAGCATCTTTTACCGGGGATGTCGAAAAAGTGGACCCCGTAAGTCGATGCTTTTCAGAGCTCCATCATAAACTATAGTAATTCAATGTTTCTAATGTATTGCAAATCTTCAGGCTACTAACCTTCATTATAGAGGTGCAAGAATCTTTAATGTTATTCTGGAAGAACTGCTAGCAAAAGGACTATATAAAGCATCCAGTGTATGTTGATCCAATGTGTAACATATACATACATACATACATACATACATACATACATACATACATACATACATACATACATACATACATACATATACGCATTCTTTTGCGCTCCCTCTGACGATAGTGTTAACTGTGTGAAATGGTGGCAGGCTCTTCTAACTGGCTGTTCATCTGGTGGGTTAGCTTCGATATTGCATTGTGACAAGTTCCGAGCTAGGTTGCCATCAACTAGTCAAGTAAAATGTGTTCCAGATGCGGGTTATTTCGTTCATGTGTAATCTTGCTTTTTCGATAACTGAAGAAATCTGTCTTCTTTCAATACATTACATCTGACTCATCACACCTTCTAACAGGAAAGACATTTCTGGAAAATACCATTTTGAGAAGTTCTTCACCAAGATCGTTAAACTACATGTTCTCTCTCCATCTCTCATATATCAATTCTGAATAAATGAAAAACTGAGCAATACGCTGGTAACTGTTCATGTGGACCGTATGCACATGTGCATACAAGTACTTTGTAAGCAATTTGTCCTATATGCATATGTGCATACAAACCAAGAAACAACTTCAATTACTTGTATGCACGTGTAGTTTTTCATTTTTTAGGGGTTTCCCCTAAACCTCCTCCCCCCCCCCCCCCCTCCTCTATATATATATACATATTAATCATATTGCTAGTTCTGACAAGGTACCTGGATTTTGGATGTAGAAATCAGAGATAAATTTGCCTTCTTCATGTACTTCAAAGAATAAACCTGGCTTGGTAAGCTCCATTTTCTCTACTACTACTCTGCTCCCAGAAGGGTGCAGTTTGACTTTCAAGGTCAAACAAACTAATTTTCAGCTTCAAAATTGATACTATAGTTTAAAGGTTGGGGAAAATGTTGACAGCCATGTCAAAATTCATAGAATTACAAACAGATATAATAGCAACTAAGAAGTGGTAACAAGATTTGATACTATAAATTTGGATTTGAAAATACATATAAGTTGACCTCAAAAGTCAAACCATAAATCTTTCTCCTTTTGGAACCAAGGCACACTACCTAATTTCATGAAGCTTAGTTCACTATTTATTTCAATCTTGTTGCAGTGTTTCTACCCACAATTTATTTTGCCAGAAATCAAGACACCTGTGTTTGTCATAAACTCGGCTTACGATTCATATCAGGTATATCATCATCTTCATGTGTGTGTTTTTGGTGTTTCTGTGTGATTCTACGTGCAAAAGTGCCGATTGTAAACGTATAGATACTGCACTCAAGGTACAAAACATTTTGGCACCAAAGAAGGCCGATCGCCATGGTTCTTCGTCTGCATGCAAACTGAATATCAGTAACTGCTCTCCTACCCAACTCAAAAGATTGCAAGGTCATACTTCTAAACCAACCTTAGATGCATTAATGGTAGAAGAGGCTAACATAGATTGTGCTTCCAAAAAACTCAGATTTTAGGTCAGATTTCATAAAGACATTGTGGTCAGGATTGGGTAAATCCTCATTCAACTCCACATCAAGAGGAATGTTCATCAATTCTTGTTATTCCCACTGCCAAACAGGGAATCAGATCACTTGGCTAGGAGATACTGCTTCAAAATTGGATAACAAGGTACACATTCTTTCATCTAAACAATTTCTAACTATTTGCCTCCAAGAAAGTGATATAATCTCCAACCCCAGAAATTTTACGCCATTTGATAACAAAATGAACCCCGAGCCCACCTGCGGGTGGGATATACGGGGCTGGTTTGGTTATCGGATCATTCTAAAATGTCAGAGATCTTATGAATATAGAAGTTGAATGCATCTCCTTTGACTTTAAAGTCAAAGTATAAGTTTTATGCTGATATAATTTTTGATGTGATGTGCAGGCTATTGCTGAGGTGGTCAGTGACTGGTTTTATGAAAGAAACACAACTCAATTGATCGATCACCAGCACAAGTTGCCACAAGAGTGTGGAGTTCTTCCCATTCGTTAGTTTTAGAAATGGTTCATCGATGAAATATAATGGTCTTACGTTATTCATTATAGATAATGTGCTTACAGAACCATGTAATTGGCTCTCACTATCGGTTATTATTCAAACATAAGGAGATAGGGAGCATTATTTCGAGAAACGTATCTAAGACTTAAGAGAAATACAACAGAAGCAACAAGTACATACCAAATAACATGTGCTTCATCTACAAAATCCGCGTAACTTCGTAGTTGTGAGAAATACGAAGAGGGGATTGCTTCGAAACAGGTCTGTCTTCTGACCAAAGCTCTAAATTTACAGTCCCGCAATCCCAATATATAAAACACTTGTAAACTTGGTCAATATTGAATCTGTTGACTAAACCCAAGCCAAGGCACTTGTCGACGAGCATCCATTCACCTGAAAAGTTACGATTTTTAAAGAAAATCTTGATTATTTATGCCACTTATAATGACACAAATTTGTGAAAACTAAGAGAAGATTAGATGAAACTTTACCATTGGGACGACGATCCCCTTCATAAAACTGCTCCCCGGATTCTGGCCATACATCATGCTTGGACCCATCAATGGCGGTAAATGAGACGTATGATTCGGATGGATGCCATAGACTAAATGTTGGATGAACTCGTAAACAAACAAGCCTAGTAAATGAGATTAATAGTCGACATCATGAGAAGCCAAAATACCAGCAGATGAATTATATAGATTGATTAAAAAAAATAGAACCGATCGGAAAACCAACCTTGAATATCCTCCAGAACCAGCACCCACATTGCATGCTACAATGCTGGAATCAATCTTGAAAAGTTTCGGGTTATCTTCCGAGATAGATATATTCCTTTCGAGAGCTAATCCACCTCCAATATCGCCTTCCATTTTCAGAGATTCTGTCTCTCCTGCTTGCTCAAGATCTCGACTGTACCAGAAAAAGGGAATCGTTATTTTGACTATCTATGGAAGGTAACTTTTCAAGATTAAAGAAAGATCAAAGATTAACTCACTCGATAACAGTATACTGCTCAGTACAACCAGCAGAACGGTACTCAGTACCACTATATTCTTCATACCCATTAATCTCAACCCGACTATGAAGCCACTGAGTTCCTGTCATAAGTTCCAAAATATATGACCAGGGGTCAAAGCTATAAAACAGAAATGCTGAGTTGATTAGTTTTACCGGTAGGAAGGTGGTCCATAGAAATAATTCGACCCCCAACCCAAGGGACAACTTTGAGAGCCCATTCACCACATTTGATTTCCACAGGAGTTCCCGAAAGCTCAATCCCTTTATTTCCAGATGCCTTCTCCACATCCGGAATACGCTTTGCAGTTTCTGCAGTTTACATTAGAAAAACAACAGAAACAATAATCGATACATGCAATCATTATAGAACATTAAAAGAAGCATACTTACCCATTTTCATCTTGTAATTGTTGCGGCTATCCAATATCAGTTTTGACACTTCAGTATCCGATGGCATGATGATCTGCACATCTTCTCCATCGGTGCCCCATGCATCAATCTGAAAATAGAAAGTACTTGAAAACAAAATGATGGAAATTCAAAAACAGAAGAAAAGACAACCAAGACGCAAATAGAACTCATACCATAGCTCCTTCGCCAAGCAAGAGGTGTACATGTAAGCGTCGATTCGGTCTCATCCACGATCCTTCAGTCTTGGAAACGCTCACTGTGATAACTGAAGACTTAAGCTCGGCAATGTATGTTGTCAAGAGATAACCTCCATTAGTATACTCGTAGCCATCACCATCATCTTCGAAGAGAACACCTTCAGCTTTACCTGCAATCAAGAGTTGAACTATCTAATGGCCCATTATGGGAGAAAGGCGCAAACTTTATATTTATGTTGGATAAATTTGAGATATTTGATACATGGCCACATATCATTACCATTTTCATCTAAAGCAACAAGCAACGATAGATCATCACTTGCATTAGCTTCACCGACATGTTGATGAGCTGGACCAAATGGGATAATTGATCCACCTCTTAGATAGAGTGCTGGTAAATCCTGAGGAATCCACAAAATTATGAATCCAATGATCAAAAGAATGAAATAGAATTGCCAAAAAAGATACAAGTCTTTGTTTTCTTCAGGGGATTCGTACCGGATGTGAATCTTGGAAATCAAAACTCATCCAAGTGCCATTAGGCAAAGTATGCTGCAGTTGATGCACCCCAAGATCACTCACGGTGCTGCAACATTCGAACTTCGAATCAGTACAGATAATTATCATAGAAATTCAAATTGATTTTTCTTTTTAGCTCAAATGTTTTCTAGTTTAATAATCTGTGTTGATTTATGTGAGAAAAAAAATGAGAACCTTGCATATACAAGAAGTGGCCCTAACAGGAAGGAATTCTCGTTTGTTCTTAACTGGCGATCTTTCAAATCTGCAAAATAAATCATGAAGGTCAAGCAACTCGAACTGAATCTAAAGACATATGGATGCAAATAAATTTAAAGCATCAAGAAATACCAGCAAAAAATGTAGGAGCTGCCACTGGGGAACCTTTTGTATGTGCCAAGTAAAAAAGTGTATATATGTGTGGTATAAGGCGGTACCGCCTCTTTAGCGCCAAACGGCAAACTTCCTCGCACTGCAAAAAGATTTGTTAACGTATATGAAAGTTAAAGATGTAATGTTTAATGCATCAGATCGTCCTGCAGAAATCTTTATCCTAAACAAGATTGGGGAGGGCTCAAGCGAGACTTATCCAATAATAACATTCAACAGAAGAGAAAACCAAGAAATATAAAAACAAAAGATACCAAAAAAGAACACAGAACAAACATCTCGATATCTAATTGGAGTGCCACAACAAAATCTCTTCAGAAAATTATGGGTCGATAAACATTTGCGGATTAAAACAAAATAATAGTTTGTTTCAGAAGAGGGTCTACCTCCTCCCCAAAGGACCAAGGCTCATGATCGATAGTTCCCTTCTCGGAATGCCCACGACAAAATGGAAACATGGCCCCAACACCCATCCATTTTCCGAACAACTTGGGTGTTGCATTACCGGCAAATCCACCAATGTCTGGCCCTGAAATTGGCTGACCACTGAGACCCTGAAAGGGAAGAGAATTGAGCAAAATGTTACCCAAACAAATATATCTTGAACCAAGATTAATTACTACTAATAGATGAAGAAATGGAAAACAATCTAATGCAAGATATCTTAGCAGCTTACCAACTGGAGTACCATAGAGATGCTCATATGTAAGTGTTCCCAAGTAGAAAGATTGTCGCCCGTCCATGTAGCAGCATACCTCTGAGAACCTATAAACCCAGCTCGAGTAAGAACAAATGGGCGTTTATTTGGGTTCGCTAATTTCATGCCTTGGTATGTTGATCTTGCCATCAGCATGCCATAAACCTAAATGGGAAACCATGTTAGTAAAAAGCCCATATACCCAACTAATTTAGATTAGTAATTAATTTATTCTTTGATAAACATGCATAATAAGCAAACAAACAAACTAGCGTACATTATGATAGTGCAAGTGATTCTGATGACCACCAAGTTCAGCGTCTCCCCTATGAATGTTACTCTCGGGCATTGTCTTTGTTATGGACTGGTGAAAGAAAAACAAATCAAGTGAGATAATAAACCAGAAAAATAATGCTCAACTGGTCAAGCCTTGGGTTTGCTCCACATTCGCCATTAGTCCAAGTTCAATAAGAGCCAGTGGAGATTTGCCCGGCTGCCCCATGGGATTAGTCGACACGTGCACAAGCTGGCCCGGATAACCATAGTTATCCGAAAAGATAATGCTTAAAGAAAAGATCTAAACATTACCTTGAAAATAGCTGGTTCATTCATATCATTCCATATGCCATCCACTCCGTTAGACATAAAATCTCTTACTAGATTAGCCCACCATGAACGAGCTTTCTCTTGAGTAAAATCAGGGAAAACACAAGGTCCTGGCCATACCTCTCCTATAAAAATGGAGATGCAATTTATGAGAGGCGATCTTTAAACAGTTGAACATTGAAGATAATAGACGTACCAACAAAGGGCTTTCCATCAGATGTTTGAACCCATATGTCCTTTTCTGATCCACTTTCATAAACAGAGTAACCTGTTTCATGCTTGATCCCTGGGTCAAGCATCCAGATAGCTTTGAAACCAATGTGATGAAGGTCATCCGCTAGAGATTTTGGATCAGAAAAATGCTCCTGAGAGCAATACAAAAGATTAGTTGCCAAATATAACAATGTGAAGAAAATTGATACATTACATTTCTAGAACACTTGGTTATGGTTGAACGACAAGTAGATTAGTAGATTGTTGGCTAAAAAAATCTCTGAAGTCCATTTTAGGATGTATGTATATAGTCATAACTGCAAGAGAGCATACCTGGTCAAACGTGAAACAACGAAAGCCATCCATGTAGTCAATATCCATCCATATGACATCACAAGGTATACCTTTATCCCGAAAAGTTTTGGCAATCTGCACAGTAAAAAGCAACATGGAAATAAGTTCAGAGTAACAAACATTCATTGTGCCGAATAGAAATGCTTTTATTCAAGTAGAGTTGTAACAAAAGTTTAACATACCTCACGAACACGCATATCAGAGTCATAGCTCCAACGGCACTGTTGATATCCCAGTGACCACTTTGGTGGCATAAAAACAGTTCCTATCAACAAAAATACCAGGCATATTATCTGAGTTATTTTAGATACAAACACATATCAATTACAAAACCAAGAAAAGTAAAAATAATATGTATTTAAAAAGGCATACCATTTTTTTAGAGTTCACTAAACAACATAACTTTAGCTTTAAAGATGCATTGCCACTTACATCCATGAGTATGCATAATCATTCTATAGATAGAAAATTACCAATTGCATGTGACAATGATGTTAAAACATCGGTTGCTGAACCAAAAGGCCCGAATGTTACCACAGGAAAAGGTGATTGTGCAGTTAGCTTTGCTATCGATTCTTCACGCAGATCAATCTGTTGAATGTATTCGAAAAGGAAATATGTGTATAATGACTATAATAACAAATCGTTCAGAAAATTAAATATATAAGGGAGGAATCTCAAGCACCTCGCTGCGCTTTGTTGTATCTGCAAGAATCCCCAATGCCTCTCCATTAGGAAGAATGGCCAGAACCCATGGATGTGATTGGTACAAGGATGTAGTTCCAGAACCATACCCCCATGCATCAGTATTCCAAGTAAAAATCTGTGTTTATTGCACTCATCAACACCCAAATATCGTAAACAACATGATTATGATGGTCCAAAAGTAATAAAATTGATGAATTAAAAAAAGAAAAAAAACCCACCCTTTTCCCTGTTCTTTCGAGCTCTCCACCAACTTCACCTGTTCCATAGAATGACGTTCCTGCTGGAAGCTGATTACCACATTCACTAGCTTAGTGAGATAAATAAATTGCATATGCACATGCATGGGCCTAATCTAGATCATGATATATATAGACTTGAGATCATGTGAGACCACCTAAATAACACTGAAACTTCACAATAAGACACTGTAAACCTTCACAATGTTTTTGTTGTGAATAAACTTTCATAGTGTTTTTGATGTGAAGGTTCGGTGTTTTTTTGCACCTTCACAGTGTTATTTTGTGGTCTGGGTCTCACGAGAATAGGGTGGTCTCACGAGAACCCAATCCTATATAGACACACTCGGGTTGTCGGAAAACCACAAAAAATGAGAAAACTGAAGAAACCCATAATAACCATCCATTTTTCCGGTATCATAGATGTACATAAAAGTAATTGAAACCGTTACTTGGTTTCTATGAACTTGCGCATTTTATGCGAATATGCATACCTGGCAAATTTCTCCATGTACATGTGCATACTGGACAAATTTCTTAAATTTCTTTTAGACACATATGCATGCGGACTAGGGCACTCTTCAGTTTTCCATTTTTTGTGACAACTGCAACAATCTTGAAAAACACAAGTATTTTCAAGAAAATACAGCTGACCTCAAAATAGACAATTTGTTGTTCAGCAAGATATTGAGAAGTTGGGATGTATGATGGAACTTTGTGATCACTCATAACAGTGGCGTCCCTGACTTTAGGATTAACAAAAGAAAGACTAGGAAATGCAGCGCTTCTATCATCAGCAGAACAATCGAACCTGAAAACACCTTCTTCTAGAATTGGTTCAAAAACCATTTTACCAAAATTGACATCGCCAGCCATAGATGTCCCTCCAATCTCTCCCATCTTACACACTGTCAAGGTTCTCTTTATCGAACTTTTGTTGTTATTTCTGCAAAACAACTGTGGTTATCAGTTAATCCTGCCTTCAATCTCGTATTTTACAACTCTTTTTCGTCGTTAAATGAACAATAATGTTAATCAAAGCATGTTACCCTAGCTTGATGTAAAAACAGCTATTACTGTTGTGTTCCTGTTGCCGTACAACAATGGCAGAGTAAAAGATTAATTGGGTACCTGAGAAAATCACTGAAATTGCGAGAAATCGAGTTGGGATTGTTGACAGATTTTATAAATTGGTTTGGAATCACACAAGTAGGGGTGGGAATTGAAGTTGTAAAGCTGTGAATAGAGGGTCTGCTGTCCCATTTGAGGTTGATGAGTGTCATTTAATACTAGAAAATTTGGTGACATTTGGGAATTGGAAGAAATCGCCCAACAAATGTTACGAATGGTTCCAAATTTCATCAGTTTTTCCTCAAAAAACGTGTGTAATGTGTTGGACGGATTTAATAGGGCGGTCCCGACTCTCGTGCCAACGGTAATCTGTCGTGATGTAAAAAATGTTATGATATTTAACGGTAGTATCATTGTGATTTGACGATCATACCGGTTATTGCAAGTCGTCGATGTTAGGTTGCACACAAAGAACACCCATAACAAGGAATGGCTACTCTACAACATTCGAGAGAAAACAAATTGGAATTGGCGAGATAGAAGTGTCAGAGCAGATGTTAGGGTAGATGAACATTAGGGTGGTTTTCTAAAATCACAATTGTTTGGCTTCTTGTTTGGATCGTGTATATCACTTTTCAAATCAGATATTTCGACCTTATAGCCTTGTGTTGCACGAAATTCTAAATATGGGATAATCCAAGAAGGAACAATCTAATTCCTTAGACACGGAAAAGATATCATGTTACTGTAGATTTTGAATATTCGGATTCTTTAAATATTGAGCCAAAAAACGAATTTAAATGAATATTTATACTTGGAGTCATCCACAAATGGATAAGAATAAGACCAAAGACTGTTGGAAGGTCATGAGAAGTTAGATCCAAAACCTCTGTTAGGAACTAACCATCTATCAAGAACCAAACGAGGTTGTCATCCGTCATATGGGTATATAGAGAACACACATCAGAAGGATGTTTTTCCATAACACTTCTTCCATAGAAACTAAATTTTGGACCCCGCCAGGGGCATGGCCCCCTTGACCCCCCACATTTTGTTCATACCAGGATCAATCTAGTCTTGTACAAGTGTGCACTCCGCACCTCCTAACTTGCATAACAAAGTAAGTAGAGATCCCCTTTAGCTTTCGTATATTTACTCATTACACCAAATGGAAACTGATGACATTAAAATCACCAACAGCGATGGCATATCTTCCCTTAGGGAACCGAGAGAAATTTATTGATCATTTATTTGAAAACTATTTATATTAAGTTTGTCGTCCATTTTACTGTAACAATTAGAGATTTTGAGTTAACAATCAGTTTATCAACCAACAATTAGTTCTCCAACTAATAGCTACTTTATCATCCAACATCTTTTCTACCAAATATTAGCCTTACACACGTATGACCCACTCATATATCATGCGTTATGTAGACATGTGTGCGTATGTTATAAAAGTATGAAGTGAAGAAAATTTTAAACAATAGACTAAGGGGTCGTTTACCAAATGCTTATCCAGGTAAGTGTTTACCAAGTAACGTTACCTTACAGGATGAATATAACAAGGACCAAGAATGTTACCCGGTAAGAATGAGGCAAGGACTGAAAATCTTATCCGGTAAGTGAGAGCGACGACTCTTACCACGGTTAACGGCTACTGGGTAAATTGTTGCATACAATGCCGTTTTTATTGACTAGAATCTTACCCAATAAGCAAGTGAGATTGTGTGAAATTTTATCGATAAACACTTACCGGGTAAGTCTTTGGTAAAAGGCCCCTACTGTAATATAAGTTTTAAATTCTTTTTTTCATCTGTTTTTGCTTAATAAACATAATATAAGTTAATTATAAATGGGTGACATGATTTTACCCAAATACAAGACAGATCTTAGGTTCGATTATGAACCCTCCATTAATCTTCAATTGAGCTAAAAATGGAGTTGGATATAAAATCAGTTAAAGTTACCAATAATGCAACTATTTTAAAATAGTTGATCTAGTCATCATCCAATCAGACTCCCATGGATTTGGATACATCCTCCTAATTGTTGTTTGTAGTTAGGAAGTATGATGCCATCCCCTCTCTCTCTCTCTATATATATATATACTTGGGATCACGTGAGACCAGCCTGTTTTCGTGAGACCAGCTTTTTACACTTGAAACTTCACAGCAAAATGCTGTGAAGGTAACCTTCACAGTGTTTTTGCTGTGAAGGTAACCTTCACAGTGTTTTTGCTGTGAAGGTTCGACTTTTTTAAAAATTCACAGTGTTTTTGCTGTGAAGTTTCAAGTGTAAAAATGTGGTCTCACGAAAACAGCCTGGTCTAAAGGTTGTATATAGGGTTGGGTTCACGTGAGACCAAAGGTTTTTCGTGAAACCCGTAAGACCAATTTATGTTTATTGATCAACTTTATAAGCTAATGATCTAATGGTCTAAAGTTGCACGGTGATAATTTTGTGATTATTGAGAAGTTTCGTGACAATTTTGTGATTATGAATGTTCAGATAGTAGATCTAATCCAAGGGTTGAGAACTGGTCTTATGGGTCTCACTAAAAACCATTGGTCTCACATGATCCCAAGTCTATATATGTGTATATATATATATACACTATACTTTACCCGACTTGGGATCATGTGAGATCAAAGGTTTTTCGTGAGACCTGTAAGACCAATTCTCAACCCTTGGATTAGATCTACAATCGTCAGATCTGAACATTCATAAACGCCACGAGACTTCTCAATAATCACAAAATTGTCACCG